TAGAATTTTTAATAGAATATCATGTTGGATAGTATCGAAGGCTTTTGCTAAGTCAATGGAAACAGCAATTGTTTTTAAACCTTTATCCAGAGAGTCATATAAAAATTGAGTGGCATTATATAAGGCATTTTCAGTGCTTAGGCCTGGTCGAAATCCGTATTGGTTTTTAGATAATAAGTTATTTTTCTCAAGGTAAGAGATCAGCCTTGCTTTAATTATTTTCTCAAATATTTTGGAGAAGTTGGTCAACATTGATATAGGTCTATAATTACCTATGGTTTTACGATCGCCACCCTTGAATAGAKGCTTAATAACTGCAATTTTAAACWTATCCGGGAAACTACTATTTTCTATACTCAAATTAAAAATATAGACTAGTGGAGTAATAATTAATTCAGAAATACTTTTAAGAATTTTAACTGTTACCTTATCATAACCAGYAGCAGTGTCATCTTTAAAATTTTGAATAATTATTCTTAATTCTGATACATCAATTTTTTCTAGAAAAATCTTTTCAAAAGAACATAGTATATTATCATTGGATTTATTTAAAACCAGATTTTGAGTTTTTTTGAATTTTTTCGCCAGATTTTTTCCAACGTTTGAAAAATAATTAYTAAACATATTAGACACTTCTTTAGGATTATCATCTATATTAAATATTATGTCGTTCACTAGTATCGTTTTGATTCTATCATTGTTTTTTGGATTGCTACCCGTAATCTCATTGATCAGTTTCCATGTTAATTTCGGATTATACGACACTTTTCTAAATTTTTCTTCATAAAATTTAATTTTGGCAAGCCTCAAMARTTTTGTAAATGTATTTTTATATTTTTTATAGTATGACGCAAGATTGACATTGTTTGGGTTTTTTTTGCACTTCATTGAGATGTATTGTTTGTGACGTACTGAGCATAATAGACCTTTGGACATCCATTCCTTCAATCTTTTATTTTTARAGTTTATATTCTTAGTTGTTAAGGATTCTTTTATGGCATTCGTAATTATATTTTGAAAATCTGTAGTACATAAATCAACCGAGTTAGATTCGTATATCTTAGTCCATTTTTCATTATACAAAATTTTTTTAAGTTTATCATAGTTTATAACATCGATAGTATTAATAATATTTTTATTTTTCACAGGTATAGGAATTGTAACTACAATTRAACAATGGTCAGTTATATCAGTTAGTAGAACACCCGCATTAATATTACCGTGTGAAATATTATTTTCTTTAATGACACAAAATGAATTTAATATAAATAGCTAAAAAAACACAAAAATTAAATTGTTTTTTAGATTTTGAGCGGAGCGATAAATGTATTCATTTGATAATGACGTGTTTTTTATTTAGTATTTTTTTTTTTTCTTAGCTTTTTCGGTCACAAATTGAATCTATTTAGTGCATTGGGGTGATCAAATTTTGAAATTCTTAGTACTTTTCAAAAGCACCTGTAAAAATAAAAAAATAAAACATGAAAGAAAAACAGGAATTTTTACGCAAAATCAATTTTCGAGGATATTGATTTTAGATATTAGTATAAATCTAAAACAAATTACCGTAGATACTTGAAATTTTCACTGAATGTTAAACGGCATTGTATATACTTGATATAATTTACGAAATATTTCAAATATTTTTAAGTTAATTATAAACATCTGAAATGTCCAATCTTTTTAGTATTTAAAAAAAAAATGATAATACATTTTATTTATAAGGTAAAAAAGCTTCAACATTTAATCCAAGTCTTCTAATATATTGTCGCAATGGTAATTAAATAATATTAATAAAACATTGTCATCATTTTTTCAATAAGTATAGAAAGTTCAAATTTTGACAAATTACGTAAAAATCACGAAAATTTGCAATTTTTTAAAGTTATAATTCATAAAAATATATTTTTTTAAATCTAAGATTTGAAAATTCAATACAAGATTGATTATGAGTTTCTCTAATTTTATCAAATAAAAAATTTCTACCGGAAAGTCAAATTAAATTTTCATGAGCATTTGAATATTCACTCAATTTCTCTTRTACCGAAATTCTTATTTTATTGTTATTCAAATACAAATAACTGTAGAAACTTGAAATTTACACAATATTTTTATTTATTTATTTTCAAAATATTTCATCAATTTTTAAGTTATTTATAGTCATTTGAAATTTTCCGTTTTATTTAGTTTTTGATTCTATAAATGTCAATAAAATTTTATTCATTTCGTCAAAAAACTTGAAAATTTAATACAAGTTTCCCCTAAGTTGATATGATAGCATTTGGAAAATATTTAAAATTCATATTTATTTTTTTATAACTGTTCAAAGATAAAATTTTAACCAAATKTATTTAATTGAAAATTTACAAATTATTTAACTGTTAAAAATATATAACGCGTTTAATATTTATAGCTTAAGATTGAAAATTTAAAATAAGGTTCCACGTAAGTAGTTAATTCTGTAACAAAAAAATCTAAAAATATACACAAAGTTTTTTTATAGTTATTTTAACTTTTAAGTTCCAATTTGGATGAAATTACATATTATTAAATAACCAAGAAGAATAACAATTTTTGCTATATCGTTGTAATTTAAAAATATTATTCGTTGGTACTTGAAATTTCTAGAGTAAACTTTATACTCTAATTTTAATAGTTAATGTCATTAATGACTTATATTAATACTTTATAATAAATTGTATATACCTTCTATGAACGACTGAGTGAGTTGTGTACATATAATGAATCAGAGATTTGATTAACTTGGTATTTATTTTACAGTTATCAACATTTTTTTTTTTTTAATAATAACAATATTATTACTAATATAGTACAACATATTCTAGACTGACAAACCGTTTCCTCTCAGAATCGTTTTTCGTATACAACGATAATATATCATTGAATTCAAATTAATACCATCCATTATAGTAGCCCWYTTGTAACCTACTGTACAGCAGTGCGACATCCACTTACCCGCTTTTTTATTCTTCAGCTTACTTCAATTTTCCTCAGCCACATCTTTACCATTAAATTTAACACATCAATTTGGGGGCCGATGTGCAAGCACATCTTACACACCAGGTCGTTATAGCACTGAATTAGTCTCTCTATTTAAATGTTTAAATAGTTATAAAAAATAATTAATAGGTACTATTGTGATATTTAAATATTATGTTACCTATGAAGTTGATATTATTATTTAATTTATATATATATATTTATTTATTTATGCTGGAGTACAACTAATTATTAACTATTATTTTATTTATTCTTATGTAATTTTATATTGTTTGCAAGATTTGTTATAAAATGTTTATACAAAACCATGTTTGATTAATTTAGATGTTTTAAACACTTGCTTAAAACAAAATTATTAAAATATCTCAACTCTGAAAATAACATCTATTAACAAAAATAATGTACACGGGCGATTAGTTTTTGATGTCTACGACAACGCATATGAACATATATTTATATCATTACAACAACAACGACGACAGTAGTTCGGGTTGCGGAATGGTGTCGATGACCGGGAATGGTAATTCATATCTCTTCGCCGGCCTCGCCGTCGCCCTCGGTGGAGTCCATGCCCACCTCCTCGTAATCCTTCTCAAGCGCCGCCAGGTCCTCCCTGGCCTCGGAAAACTCTCCCTCCTCCATGCCCTCGCCAACGTACCAGTGGACGAACGCCCGTTTCGCGTACATGAGATCGAACTTATGGTCGAGCCGGGCCCATGCCTCGGCGATTGCTGTGGTGTTGGATAACATGCAAACGGCCCGCTGGACCTTGGCCAGGTCACCGCCCGGCACCACGGTAGGCGGCTGGTAGTTGATACCCACTTTGAACCCAGTTGGGCACCAGTCGACGAACACGATGGTCCGCTTGGTCTTGATGGTGGCGATCGCGGCATTCACGTCCTTGGGCACCACGTCGCCGCGGTACAGCATGCAACACGCCATGTACTTGCCGTGCCGGGGGTCGCACTTGACCATCTGGTTTGCCGGTTCGAAGCACGCGTTGGTTATCTCGGCCACGGACAGCTGTTCGTGGTATGCCTTCTCGGCCGATATGACCGGCGCGTATGTGGCCAGAGGGAAGTGTATGCGCGGGTACGGTACCAAGTTTGTCTGGAACTCGGTCAGGTCGACGTTCAGCGCGCCGTCGAATCTCAGCGACGCCGTGATAGACGACACGATYTGCCCGATCAGCCGGTTGAGATTCGTGTACGTGGGCCTCTCGATGTCCAAGTTCCGCCGGCATATGTCGTAGATTGCCTCATTGTCCACCATAAACGCACAGTCAGAATGTTCTAGCGTAGTGTGCGTGGTCAGTACCGAGTTGTACGGTTCCACAACGGCCGTCGATACCTATAATATAATATTGTGATATAAAAAAAATATAATATGTGGTCGATATTCGATTCATAAATACAAATTATTCGTCTCTAATAATACTATATTTATACTCGTTGATTTATTGTTGTATCATCGGAGAAAAAATATATAATTATATTTGTTTAAAAACGGCGAGAAAAAAATAATAATACATTTTTTTTTAACCAAAACTTACTTGTGCTACCTATAATAATACGATATTATCGAGGTCTATATTAGTTTGTTAGTGCTCACTTGGGGTGCGGGGTAAATGGCAAATTCCAATTTGCTCTTCTTTCCGTAATCGGTGCTGAGCCGTTCCATGAGCAATGACGCGAAGCCGGAACCGGTGCCGCCGCCGAACGAGTGGAATATCAAAAACCCTTGAAGCCCGGTACACTGATCGGCCAACTTCCTGATCCGGTCCAGCACTAGGTCGACGATCTCTTTGCCGATTGTATAATGGCCGCGGGCATAGTTGTTGGCCGCGTCTTCCTTACCGGTGATCAGTTGCTCCGGGTGGAATAGCTGCCTGTACGTTCCGGTTCTCACTTCGTCTGTGTAAACGTATAATAATATCATACACCACTCGAAAAATCGAAATAACAACTCTAAATAAATTGTTTTTGACACATTGCATTTATTGAATTTATGTTAGTTACCTAGTTAACTAATATTAACTTATCGTTAATTAAATTTGTCGTGATTAATTTTATTGTTGTAAATATTTRTTATCAAATTTCGGTTTCCGACTAATATTAATTATTTTAATGCTAACAGTTAAAAAATAATACGAAAAAAACACAACACAATATAATTATAAAATATATTATTTTATAATCTA